GGCCAAGGACCTCCTCACACATACCCACCGAACTACTCATCTGGGCATCAGGAAAACAGCTGAGCTCCTAAGAAATGCTCATCTAAAAGTCCTGAATCTCCGCCCACTTGTTGATGCAGTTGCCTCTGCATGCCTTAGTTGCAAGCTGGCCAATGCCGAAAACCACCCTAAGGAACAAGGGGCTCGAATGAGGCGCTCTAAACCTGGGGCCCACTGGGAAATGGACTTAACAGAAATCAAGCCAGGCAACGCCAAGAGACCATGGAGCCTCGCTGGAAAGGACCGTATGTGGTGCTCCTGACACCCCCCACTGCAGTAAAGGTGGATGGAGTTGCCACCTGGATTCATCACACTCACGTCCGGAGAGCTGATCCACACCAATGACCTGGAGGACCCTCAGGCCAAGGCATGGGAGGTCCACAAGGATGCAGACAATCCCCTCAAGCTAAGGCTGTGCCGCTCTTGATGTTTACCCTTCTGTTTGGAATGAACGTATGTATAACTGCCAAACCTCATCAACCTTACAATCTCACCTGGCAGCTCCTGGACACCTCTACTGGAGACATCCTAGTCCAGACATCCAAGATTGCCCCACTGAATACCTGGTACCCAGAGCTAGACTTTGACCTCCAATGCTTGCTCCCTGGACAGAGCCATTGGGGGCTATGTCATGCTTATTTTTATGTCTGTCCCGGAAGCAGAGGAAGAGGCTGGGGGAAACGATGTGGGGGAGCCAGTGATTATTTTTGTAAATCTTGGGACTGCGTGAGCTCGGGAGACATCTACTGGACAGCCCCCATTAAAGATGATCTTGTCAAGGTTGTCCGTAACAACACCCCTGATGCCATTTATCGCGGGTGGAGAGTTAGAACATGTCCCACAAAAACAGGCTGCAACCCTGTCAAGGTAGTGTTTACTGATGTGGGGAAAGAGACACTACTTGGGAGGTAGGGAAGACCTGGGGATTGAGAGCTCATAATCTGAGCCCAGGGGGGTTCTTCACTGTCATCCTCAGAAAGGAAACTCCCACCTCTCTGATACCCCAAGATGTTGGCCCCCATCCATTCTTAGTACCCCTAGAATCCAACTCCAGCCCCAAGCCCCCACCTCTAGAGGAAAGTACAATAGTCTTCGGGAGAACAGCAGTAGTCAAGGGGACGCCTATGGCTTCACCCTCAGACCACCCTATTTGGCTGCTGGTCACCTCCACTTTCGAGGTGCTCAATGCCTCCAAGCCAAACCTAACTGTAGAGTGCTGGCTCTGCTTGAGCATCCAACTACCCTTCTATGTGGGCATAGCTGTAACAGGTAATTACTCCCGAGTTAATAGTAACCAATGCACCTGGGGACAGCAAGGAAAACTTTCTCTCCAGCAGGTAACTGGGGCAGGGACCTGTGCATTGCCTCCTAGTGCCCAGATCCCGCCAGGGCTATGTAACCACATAGTCTCTGTTTCAAATGATACTTATTACTCTGCCACTTCTGGATGGTGGGCTTGTTTTACTGGTTTAACCCCCTGCATTCATGGGACTGTCCTTAATAATATAAAAGGTTACTGTGTCATGGTACAGCTATTCCCCAAGATGACTTACTATGAGGAGACCCAGATGGAACTAGCCTATGCACCCCTCTCCCCCCTCAGAACTAAGAGAGCCATAGGGGCAGCAGCCATTTTGTTATCCTCCTTAATTGGTCTAGGTGTAGCGGCAGCAACTGGGGTGGGCACCTCGGCCTTAATTTTACAGGACCAAAACTACAAAGCTCTCCAGGTAGCGATCGACACAGGCCTCAGAGTATGGAACAGTCTGTAACTAAATTGGAACAATCCCTAAACTCATTAGCTGAGGTCGCCTTACAGAATAGGAGAGGTCTTGACCTCCTCCTTATGCAGCAAGGGGGTTTATGTGCAGCCCTAAAAGAAGAATGTTGCTTTTATGCTAACCATTCTGGTGTGATTAGAGACTCTATGGCTCTGCTCAGGAAACATATCAAGGACAGAGAACAAAAGGACCCTGGGTGGTATGAACAACTGTTTAATTGGTCTCCCTGGCTCACCACCTTGCTCTCAGCCTTGGCCGGACCTGTAATCCTCCTCCTACTAATGTTAACTATTGGGCCATGTATCATCAATCGGCTGGTAGCCTTTATTAAGGTACGGGTGAGCACAGTACAACTCATGGTCCTGAGGTCCCAGTATCAGCCCTTAGAACCCCTATTAGGGACCCCAACCTAGACCCATGATTGGGTCCTCTCTAAGTTACAAGGAGAGGGGGAAATGTGAAATCCTACTCCTTGGCCCCCTGCCCTGGACTCCCAAGACCCCTGCCCCTCTTTAGGACAAACTGCTCTTTTTCGCTTCGGTAAACTGCTTGACTGCTTGGCTGAGGGACCAACTGCCTTGATCCCATTCCATTTTTGACTAGCTGTTTCTGCGAAGCCTGAACATGCCCAGGCATGCTGTAATCTCCACCTACCACCCCCACCCCAAGAGGCTGTAAGATCAAGCAAGCCCAGGCCTATGGAAACCTTATAAGGTAAAAACAGAGACTTTTGGCCCCACAGATAACAGTCAGCACATTCCACAGCCCTGAGGGTAGCACCCACCAATGAGAAAACCTCCAGAATTGCATCCCTTGTAACCAATCAATTCAAAAGCATGTTGGTGCGTGCGGGCTCTCTGGACCAATCAAGATGTGACTCTGTTATTCTCCTCCCCTCTTTGTCTAAAACCTATAAAAAGCTTCCACCCCCTGCAATCGGGGCTCTCAGGTAGACATGCCACGTTGGTTTGGTCTGAGAGTCCGAGCTTAAGCCCGAATAAAGACTTTGTTTTTGCATGCTCTCTGGACTCCGTGGTAATTCTTGGGGATCTGTTCCTTGGGCATAACACTTCCCACAGGTTTCCCAACATACACCAGGGCTGAGCTGATGCTGCATTGCTTTTAGGTGGGGAATTTGGAAAGTTTGAGAAATTTACTGAGATATTGTGCTTTTATGTAAATTTTACTCTTAACAATGTATATAATAAAATTAGTAAGAACACGAAACACTTAGTAATTTCTTAAGAATTGATACATTCTATGAAAACTTATTGAAAGGTGTTTGACTCAGGTATCAAAAAAACAAGCAAAACCCACACAAAACACCCAGCTTCTTGTATACATACTATGACGTGAAGCCACACCCAAAGGGTCTGCATTTGAGAAGGCTTTTATCAAAACAACACAGTGCTAAAAAGGAGTCTTCTCTGATTCCACAGCTGCTCTCTTACAGACGCCCTTCACTCAGAAGATCAGAGTTATGGTCAAACTTGGACGTGCAAGTAAGAGTTCACAGTTATTTACTGAACACTCACTACACATGTACTGTTAGCCCTAAGGACTAAGCTCTGCCCTCCTGGAGCTTATGCTAATGAGGAAGACCGCCAACAAACCAGCAACTGTGTGGCCAATGTCAAATATGCTATAAGCCACACTGTTAAAGGGTAAAAGGACAGAGAGAAGTGAGGAGGAGGTGACAGGTAAGCAGAGATGACATTATCCACCACACACAAAGCCCTGTGAGGAGCAGATCCCACACAGAGGGAACAGCAAGTGCCCAGAGTGGGGGCTGTGCTGGTAGAGGATGCACTGCAGTAGGGGATGGGAACCCAGGATGGAGGGAGGCCAAGGTAAGGGTATGGGTCACAGGCTCTGGCAGACCAAGTGAGGTGCATTCCACCCTGTACTCCGCTGCCAGCTACTCAGAGGGCCTCACCAATGGATGAGCATGCTTTGTTGCCTTTACAAGTTTGCTTTTACTAATTTCCAGAGGACAGACTCTGTGTGGGCGAGGATTTGGCAAGAAAGAAAGCAGGAGGGAACTCGTCTGGTAACGCTGGCTGGAGGTCAGGGACTTTGGCCGCAGGCTCAAGAGAAGTGGATGGTTCATAATATATTTGGGGGGCGGGGTAGAATGGACAGTAATTACTACTTAAAATATTTTTGGATTTACTTATTTTTATTTTCTATGCATCGGTGTTTTGGCTGCATATATGTAAGTGCACTATGTGCATGCAATGCCCACAGCAAACAGAAGAAGGTGTCAGAGTCCCTGGAACTGGAGTTACAGATGGTTGTTAGTAGCCATGTGGGTGCTGGGAACTGAACCAGGGTCCAGTGCAAGAGTAGCTGGTGCTCTTGACCACTGAACCATCTCTCCAGTCTCAGTAATTGCTACATTTTTTTTAACTCAAAAACCTACAGTGGTGCTCTCAAACTTTCCATCATGGACTGAGGAAGTAGGAGCCCATGAAGCCCCCTCCCTTCCTGCGGAGCAGATGACTGTTAACAGTTGCTAAGGAGGGGGTGATGTTTTCTAGTGTTGTAGTCACAGGGGACCATGTGGGAAGGATATCAGATGGATAGGAATGGGGACCAGAGGGTAACGGCGGGTGCATGTAATCACAGCACATCCTATACATGTACAGAACTGTCAAAAAATAAAGGAGAGTCGGCAAGATGGCTCAGTGGGAAAAGGCACCTGCCATGGAGCCTGATAACCCCAGTTCAGTCCCTAGACCCCTCACGGTAGAAGGAGGAACCGACTCCCACAAGTTGTCCTCTGACCTTCACATGCCTGCACTGGGCATGTGAGCACCTGCACATACTATATACATGTAAAAACAAACATACAAACAAACGAATGAATAAAGGGGAGAAAGGAGAAGAAAACATAGATAAATTATGGTGCTAGTCATAGAAATGGGTACACTGGCCCAATGTCAGCTTCCTCAACTTGTGGTTGAATCAGAACCTGAAGTCATACATTTATTTATGTGTCAGCAATGGTGCATCATCTGCATTTTCTGCTAAGAAGTAACTTCTGGTCATTTTCAAATACATTCTGAATACTGAAAGTTCAGTAAGTATGTCGTTTAATTTTCCTTAATGGAAAGTGGATGTAAGAATCTTCTACACCATAGTTTAACCACATGTGTCATATTCCTCTGCAGACGGTACCTTGGCAATTGGGTTCTTTCTGGACAGGTCTTCTCCCTCCCGAAGGGTCACAGGGGCGGTGATCCACGCCCGCTTTTGCCGAACTAAGTGAGTGCGTTTAGGAAGCAGTTTATTTTCACTTCTTGTGTTTAAGACCTGTAACAATATTACCTTACGTGAGCATTTTAAATCCTCAAGTTCGGAAATGAGAGTCCACCATTTATTAAGCTTCCAAATCGTGCAAATTTCAATGATACAGTTAAAATATACTTAACTGTTTAAAAGCCCCACCTAGTACAAAATTTAAGATACACTTTACGTCTTAATAAGCTTCATTTTCATAGAGGAAATGCATGTATTTTAGCAAACTCTACAAGTATGTTAAAGACTGTCTCCAACTGATAAAGCTGCAAGGTTGGCTTTTCATAGTAAGAAACATTTCCCAGAGTAAAGCATGAAAAAAGCCAAAGAGGAACTTGTCCTCATGGGGGCTTTGGGTTTTCAGTTTCTGAATCCCCTCTCCACTTGTGGAGAACTTGTCTCTGAGTGGGTGTGACTGTGTTTAATTAATTATTTATTTATTTTTATTTATTTATTTATTATTTATTTATTTACTTTTTGAGACAGGATCTCCCTGTAGCCCTAGCAAACCTAGAATTCACTATACAGACCAGGCTGGCTTCGATCTTAACAGAGATCGGCCTGCCTCTGACTCCTGAGTACTGGGATTAAAGGCATGTGCTATCATGCCTGGCAAGAATTTTCTTTTCTTATTAGCTGAGAATAATTTTCATTTTTCGATGATGGCTCATGGGCTAATAATAAATTACCACATATTTTAGGACTCAGTAAACTGTTGATACAAATTTGACCCCTCTGGGCAAGGTGGTGCATGCTGTCTTATCACTTGTGAGATGGAGGAGGGATTCTGAGTTTGAGGCTAGCTTGCTCTAGCCTGGGCTATTGGCTTAAAAAGTCTCACCCCTACAAAGACCTAAACTGGTAAATAAAGTTTTTCTTTTTTTTTTTCTTGTTTTTAAGACCTTATGTGAAAAAGTATTCCACACAAAATTATTATTGTTATTATTTGAGACAGTGTCTCACTATGTAGCCCAGGCTGACCTGGAACTCACTGTGTAAATCAGGCTGGCCTCAAACTCACAGGGATCCACTTGCCTCTGCCTGCCCTCTGCTGGGATTAAAGGTGTGTGCCACCATGCCCTGCAAGATCTTTTTCCTATTAAATGCTGCACTGAACATCCCTAGATGTGTGTTTCTCAGCATTTCTGTGAATGGGAAGGGTCAGGTCCCAGGCAATGTGGACTTCAATCTGGTAAAGCACAACCAAACCATCTGTCAGAAAATGAAGCTGTTGGGTCTCAAAAGTGGGAATAATCTCTCTTGGTTCCTTACCTCTAAGTGAAGTCCATTTCCAAAGTCTGAGCAGATCTGAAAAGTAAAATCATAGACCTTAACGCAAGAGCAATTAGACTCTCTTGTCCCAAACAACCAGAGCCAGAGTGGAGAAGCTGGCTTCTCGGTCTGGCTTCTTGTTGGTCCACAGGCCTCTTTCATAGAACAACCAGCATGGATTTTTAAAATTATCTATTTGTTTGATTTGGGGGCAGAGGGGATGTAAGTACCACAGGGTGCATGTGGCGATCAGAGGACTACCTGTGGAGTCAGTTCTCTCTTTCCACCATGTGGGTTCAGGTCGATAGGCTTGACAGCAAGTGCCTTTCCCCACTGAGCAATCCTGCTAGCCCAAAGACAGCTAGTACTTATCAAACAAAAGAGGTTCAGGGATATGGCTCTGTGGTCCAGGCACTAGCCCTGCAAGAGTGACCTCCTGTTTGATGCCTGGAACCTACCAAGAAATCCTATTCAGTAGCACCCATCAGTAATCCGCAGTACTCATATGGGGAGATGGGAGGCAGAGATAGGAGCATCATCCAGAAGCTCTTGGGCCAACTAGCCTGTAACTGCAGAAACGAGACTCTGCCTCAGCAAGCAGGAAGGCGAGAACTGACTCCCCAAACTTGTCCTCTGACCACTTTATGTGGGCTGGGGCACACGTGCCTCCCACCCCCATTAAATAAACAAGTAAAATTAAAAACAAACAAAATAATCAGCTTCATGAAATCTTAGACCTTCCCTGATCCTTTTCACCTTGTGCTGTCTGGGACTTGTGTACCTTGTGGGTATGAGATGATCCTCCCAGAGAATCCCCATCACCCTCACGGTTGCACATGCACTCACATACACGCACTCACATGAGCCTCCCAGCCTGTCACCCTCATGGAGTGCACACGCACACCACACACTCACAACTGTCTGTGTTCTCACTTGGTTTCCTGACATCCTCAGCACCAGCGAGTCTCTCCTCTGCTTCACAGGCACCATTAGAATCTGGATGTCACCACGGTTGTAAGGACAGTCCTAGGCTTATTCTCAACCTGTTCATAAACTCCCATCCTACTTTCTGAATTTTGCTGCAATTTCTTTGCAGTTTATAATTCTCCTGCTGGCTTCTTCCCGGCCTCTGCCCCGGCTTACAAACCAGCACTTTATAACATGGCAGCTGCAGTTGCTCTTTAAAATAAACTGAAACTGTTTGGAATCTGCAATTCAGTTGCTCACTAGCCACATGTAGCTGGTGGCTACTGTTTGGATAGGATGGATCAAGCACATTACCATCACTGTCGACTAGTAAGCAACTACCAGCCATTCGAGAGATGCTACCAGCGACAGCCAGGGAGACTTGTTTCCTCAACCCTTTGATGCCCTTGCTTCACATATGCTCTTCAACTCTGGGACCTTATTCTTGATTCTTTCCCTGCACTGGCCACATTGCTAGAGAGGGTCACAGTGGTGGAAATGGATCCTTCACACGCATCAGAGCAGCTCTGACCACTGCCCCAGTCCTCTCTCGATAGTGGAGAGGCTCTTTCTAGGTGACCCTGTCTACATTTGCTCAGGGTGGCTCGGGCTCACACTGCTGTCAGGAAGGCCTACTATTACCATGCCTCTCCTCTGAAAAGTGCAGTCCATTCAGGCTACAAATCATACAGGCACCTTGGTTTGTCTCCCTCTCTCTGTAACCCCATCACAGGCACCCCAAATTTTTGAGCCCCAGAGTCACTCTGACAACACCTCTGGCCAGATTCACCCTCATACAGTGACATCACACGTTATCTCAGTCGTCTTCAGTCTCTCCTCTTTCTCCAGGGGAAAGGTGTCCTGAGGACTTCCCAAGCTCAGCCACCAACCTTTGGTTTGCTTTCAACTCGTTTGCCCATATTTATCTTCTCAGCAGCCTTGGTGGGTCACCCTGCCTTTTACCTTCCCTTTCTATGGCTAATCAAACACGTTTCTTTCTTTTGCAGTGGCTAACCGGACATATTTAGGTCTTCCTTGTCCTCAAGCAGATCCACCCCCTCCTTTGTTTCTGCTGATACCGAACGCCACTGCTCTGTGCTCTGCAAACTGTAAACAACTATCTAGATTACTGCCTTCGCCTCCTCACATCCCAGTTATGGATTCACTGGAATATGTCTCGGCTCAGATTTCCTCAGCTTCATTTGCTTCTTCTCATGTGTCTCTGGAAATAGGGAACCACGAAGGCCACACATCACAGAAATCAGGGCTGTCCCTAAAACTCCAACCTCCCAGCCACTCTACTTTCATCGTTACAGTCAGATACATTATCTCTTCCTTATATTTTCTACATTCTTTTACCTGGCAAACAATGGTCAGAGATGTCTATCCAGGATGTGCCATGTGGCATGGTATGAAAAATAAAAGCAAAGCTGACCTACTCTGCTTGCTGCATATTCCTCTAGCAGGATTTTCTACAGAAAGGATTTAGTCAGTGCCCTATCAGCAGGGACATTCTCAAATTCACCACACCCCACCCTGTCTCCTAACCATCTGTCTTTCTTTTTGAAGCCCATGTTGAAGTGCTGGCTGGATGGATTAGCTATTATTACCAGCTATGCAGCCCTGGATGGCCTGGCATTCATTATGTAGACCAGGCTGACCTGGAATTTACAGAATTCCCCTGCCTCTGTCTTCCAGTGCTAGGATTAAAGGTGTGTTACCATGCCTGGCCTCATTCTTTTTTAAAGATTTATTTTTATTTATTTGTATGTGTCTCGGTGGGTAAATGTACATATGCATGCAGGTGCCTGATGTAAGAAAAATTAAATACTAATTTTTTCTCTTAAAACCTGTAAAAGTTGGAACTTGGTTTATGACAAGGAATTCTAATCTTTGGATTAAACCACTATATCCTGTAAGACTTTTGTTTAAGGAAAGGCCCTGATGCATTCCTGAACCCGATGGCCTGTGGCAATGGAGTGGGAGGCGGGGTCGGATCCCAGCCAATGGGGAAAAGACACAGTCTTCTTGCCTTAGAGATAAAAGCTTCCTGGTCCTGTGTGCTTGCTGGAGCTTACTGACCACACATCATACCCTTTTGCAAAAGTAAAATCTGCCTTGTGGAGATACTTTTGCTTTGTCCACATGTTCTTTGTGTGGTCCTGGTGGGGTCCTTGGACCTCAGATTTTATTTCTAGCACTGAGGCAGCCAGAGGAAGGTGCTGGATTCCCTAGCATTGTAGTTACAGGTGGTTGTGAACTGCCCAGTGTAGATGCTGAGAACAAAACACAGGTCCTTTGGCAGAGCAGCACGTGCTCTTAACTACTGAGCCATCTCCCCAGGGCCCCTCCACCACATTTTCATTCTTGCCAAAAATCTTTCTGGCCATTGCAAAAACGGGATAATAATTATGTGAAACTTTAAGTAAATGTTATTTTTCTGAGCAAATATATTTTACAGATATGAGCAAAGGGAGCAATTTATCATCTTCTAGTTAAAACTCATCCTCTGAGCCTCTTTGTTGATTTGTATTGAAATTGTTTTCCTAGGTGATGTTTGCTTGGAAATGCAGAGATCAGATGGTTACAAAAGATACCCAAGTATGGGTACCAGCTCCTCAAGGGAAAGTTGCTGGGACTCATTTTTTTCTTACAAGGAACTTGGTGAGGGAAAAATATGTGAAAAGCTTGGATGAGAAATCAGCTTCTAGTCACTGTAGCCTAAGAAATGCTTTTTAGGTGAACCAGAGAAATCCTTCAAAAGCTTCCTCACTTTATACAAGTTTTAACATTTCTCCTGTTGGAACTTGTACATTACAATAATAGTTGGCCTTCCTGATCATCAAAATAAAAAACAAAACCAAAAAACTCTAAAATCACTTGTAGAAGCCAGAGGGGAGGTCAAATATCACTGCAAAACAGTCAATGCATTCTTTGTTCTCAAGGTCAGCCACTTGAGAAATGATTTCCTGTTTGGAGCTACTTTGCAGACTGGCATCACTCGGGTGTCACTGGATGACAGCTCCTCTTGTACAGAAGTTCTTTCTGAAGTTCCCCTGCTCCACAGCAGGTAACCTTGAGCTTCGTTTCTTCTAAGGCCCTATGATTCCATCCTGAGGTGACCCTTAAACTTTGACATCTCAGACTAATAGAGCCCCTCCGACTGAAAGCACAGGTACACAAAGTAATTTCAAAGTTTGTTTCAATGCAAGACTTTATAATGGTGTGGGATTTTTATTCAAGCAGAACGTAACTGTCTAGTAATAGGAAGCAGTGTGGTCTGGGCGACATGGTTCCTATATAGAGATGGCCTAGCACACGCAGTTTGTTCTCTATGTTAAGATCCTCTGTCATGGTTAATTCGATTGTCAGTTTAAGGAGATCTAGAACCACCTAGAAGACATGCCTCTGGGTATATCTATAATGGAGTTTCTACATTGGGCAATTGATATAGGAAGACCCACCCTAATTTGAGTGGCAGCCTTCCACGGGAAAGGCCCTAGACTAATGAAAAGGAGAAAATAAATGGAGCTGAGCACCAGTATTCATATCTCTCTGCTCCTGACTGTGGATGCAAGCCTCAAACTCCTGCCACCAGCAAAGTGATGAACTGTGCCCTCAGAATGTGAGCCAGAATAAACCCTTCCTTCCCTCTAAGTTGCTTTTATCAGGTATTCTGTCACAGCAAGGAAAACAGTAACTAATACACTTTTCAGGGCCATTGGAGAATATTTGAGTTAAGTCTCACTCACCCTTCTGACCATGCAGAATGTTCTCAAATTCTTTGATTCTCATTTGTGTGGTACAGAAGGTCAAATCAGACATAGGTCTGAGAGGCCCTGGCTCTGCCTGAATCCATTCATAAAACAATTTCAACCTTGGATAAGACAAGGTAGTACAAGGAGATGAAGTGCACTGGACGCTGTTTATTTCCTCTGGTCACATGTCCTGATTATTGTGTTTGTATTGACACACTGGAGACCTGGCCCAGAATAGCTAGCTCTGAAACCTCTAAGAAGGTTTTGGCAGGACTGCTGTGGTCAGCATCTCACAGGGCTACTCTGGACCTG